TTACCAGACGGATGCTGCTCTTCAAGCTGCCCGGCTGCATATCTGTCCATATGGCTCATTAAAAATTGGCCATCAGTATCAGCCCCAAAAATCTCTATCAGTGCACCCTATTAATGATATTACATCATGTTAGAGTGAGGAAAATCTCCCAGAATAGCTTCAGTTAACCTACCTGGCAACCCTAGTTTGGGCTCAGTCAAAGAAGCCCACTTTGGTTGAATCTCTCTGCCCCCTGTGTTTTGCATAACTATTCCTACATCATTCCCAGGAGCTCCTTAATTAGTTGTGCCCATCTTTTTAGAGGTACAACACACCTGCACTCACTAATAGCTTGCACAAACTCTTCTTTCTTTACCTTCAGTTAATCTATTACTTGTTCTTCTGTTTTACAAAACAGAAATTCTCTTCTAAAATTGTTACTTAACTGGGATCATGAGCATAGGCCTGAGCCTCTGTTGTGGAAAAGGGGATATAAGTGTAATAATTAAATTGCCTTCTGGGGTGCTATCTATGACCTCCTCGATCCTCTCAAGAGTTTTCTTTCACAATTATACCCACACTCAGACACATACACACGAGTCAACTCATTTGCTCTCCTGATGTTTTCTTTAGTCCCCCTGTTTTCCTTAACTGCATGCTATGGTTCAGGGATTGGGGTTTCTCTGCATAAAATGAATATGCCCAGAAACACACTTGATTTCCATGTCACTATAAATACATACAACCAAGGGACATCATTGGGATTGTGTCTGCTGTGTTGCAAATAGTTAGTAAACCATTTCTGGCTCATTCCTTGCTGCACTTCCCAAATTGTAACCATGATGTTAACTTCCTGGTCCCACCCCCCCATGTCCGTCTGCATATTTCTTACTACCCTGTTTTTAACACTTTGGGTACAAACTGCTATTCTAACCAATTAGGGTTATTACAGCTGGGTACTGCCATTCTCTCAACTTCTGGAGTCAATATTTCAGTTGGTTATGATTCATAAAAACACAGTTAACAAAACACCCCATCCAAGCACAGGTGCCACTACTGACCTCTGTGGTATCCTACACAGTAAAGTTGTCCAACAGTCAGCTGAAGAATTATCTTCGTTTGATTTGTTTTTTCCTTCGAAGAATCCCTCCTGAATAAACCTTCAGTAAGGAAGATTCTGTTAATAGCTCTCCTGCTGATTCAGTAGAGTGACTTCCCAGGCAAATTCTTCTTTGAATTTTCTCCACGTTGGTTAGAAATAAATGTACTCACCTGTGATCATCAATTTAGATCACGAGTCAAAAAAGCCTTCAAGGCAGAGCTGCTACTCCTCCTGATATGGTTTTTCCTGCTATTGAGCTCTTGCCAAATCCTACTTAAAACCAATGCGAGTCTCTTGCATTGTTCTCAAACGATCAAGGAGTTAAGCTTGTACAACAATAATACTTGTTTAATTCAGAGTGCTTGCTTTGCTGTTCTCCCCAGCCTCTTTTCCTGGGCCAGTGTAACAACTTACATATAACACTCTCCACACATCTCTGAATGAAAGAGCTAAATGTCATAAACAAGTGGATTAAATCCAAAATTAAGAAGTCACTCACCCAACAGAATGGCAGGATGACAGAGAAGAGCAGGGAGAGGCAAACCCCTGTTCTCTCCTTCAAGCATGAAATGGAAAGCATCTCAATGGAGAACTTGAGCAGGTCAGTGCAGGGGTGAGTACTCATCACCCTTGAGGCATAAAAAAAATCCTCCAGGGCAGCTGCTTACTCTTGCACTGGACCAGGTTTGGAAGCCAAGGTAAAAAAAGCTGCCAAGACTTCTGGGTAGGGTGTTAGGCTTAGTTAATACAGCAGCCACACAGCAGGTGATCTCAGGTAAGCAGGCATAGTTTTAGCATCATTTGATTCATTAATTTCCCTTACTGGAGTTTATCTAGTCTGACACATTGAACAAATTAATTGCAAGCCCCCTCACTCATTCCTGTTAATTTACAAATGTTAGTACAAAGTGGCAGGACTTACTATAGCAAGCTTTGTCTACAAAACTAGGGAGTATCTACCTGCAGGTGTAGAAGCTATTTAGGACTTATATCAAGGAATGCAGCAGTATCTTTCTGAAATCAAAACCCTTTCCTATAATCCCTCACTTACAGAACTGCTGGCAGGACAATAAAATATTGGGAACAATCATTAAAGTAAGAAAAATCATAGAATCATAAAGTAGAATCACAGAAAATTAAGGCTGGAAGGGATCTCAGGGCTAGGGATAGACATTACACATAAACCGATTTAAGTGATTAGAAACTGGTTTAAAGCTGTAACAGAACAGATGTTCAGTGCACATAAACCAGTTTGAGAATGCCTAAAACCAGTTTAAGATAAACCTGATTGAATGTAGTATCAGACTTAACTGATTTGGCTCAAACAAGTTTATGCAATGTCTGTCCCAGACTCCTTGCTGGTTTAAGTTAATCAAAGTCCCCCAGCATCCCAGCATGCTCTCTGGGCTGGGTGAGGCTTTCTGCTCCACAGCAGGGCTGGCCCCTCCCCTCTGCTCCCTGGCTGCAGCTCCAGAGACTGCAGGCAGCTTCCTCCCTCCCCCTCACCACTGCCTGCTAAGCAGGAATTCCCCCCTCCCATCTGCCTTGCTGAGGAGGTGTCTGTGTATTAGCTAGCAGATCACCTGCTGGCTATGGTTTGTGCTGAATCAAAAGGAAGAATCAACAAGTAGTTAGTAATGTCTCTCTGTTGTTTTCTTAATGGGGTGATAAACACTGCTATCAATTCCCTGCTGGGCTAATCAGAACTCCTGCTGGAGCCTGGCCACGCCCCCCTCAGCTCCATGCTGTGGATGAAAGGGAAGGCTGCTCTAGTACCCCTCCAGCTCCTAGCCTGAGCCACTACAGGCATATGCCTGCATTTCTGGGATGTCTGTCCAGTTACAAAACTGATTTAAACTGGCCAGGTCGGACTAACCTGCAAAGATTGAATCAATTCAGTCTCAGGCTTTTTGAATGTCTGTCCCTAGCCCAGAAGGTCATCTAGGCCAAACCCTGCTCAAAGCAGGACCATCCCAAACTATCACATCACAGCCAAGGCTCTGTCTACCCAAGTTTTAACAATGTTAACAAGTGCAAAACTGTGTTCTTCTATGTAGCTGGGTACCTGCTGCCATGTATTATTCACCTTATCAAGAGACCTGTATTTGCATGAATATATGTGGTACCACAAAGTTCAAGGGCAATGACAGATGGGAGTATTGTATGCAGATGCACAGTATATACATTTATACAATTAGTCTGCTTAATATTTACAGAAACTATCCAGAGGAGCAAAGAGAGCTAGAAATGCAACTGTGCAATTTTTACATTAGAAATAGGTCAGTCTTTTAATGCAGACAGACTTCTAGCAACTGGATGCTAGGGAAAAAAAATAATTAGTTGAGTTCATACCCAGTGAGGTGGGTATCTAAAATGCACTTTCTAAAGATTACCAAAACTACAGCCTCAGGGCTCATGTGGTCCAAAATCAGCAACAGCCTTACTGAAGAAGGCAAAGGAATCAGAAGTGACAGGCATAAATAAATTATCATAGTCACCATATAGAGGGGACAGTAGGCATAGGATTTGGGAGCTGGTTGCAAAGGTGCAAGTCATAGAATCATAGAGAAACAGGGCTGGACGGGACCTCTAGAGGTATTTTAGTCCAGTGTTTCTCAAACTTTTTTCTACCAGGACCCATTTGTAAACATCAACGGTCAGTCCCAACCCAGTAAATAGTTTAAGTAGCTAACCTTCTGCTAACCTGCAAGGGGGAACCCGTGGTTTCCCATGTCTTTTTCCTTTAAAGAAGAAAATCCATGATTTTCCACATTTTTCCGTGATTGGTCACAACCCTTTTATATATTCTTGTGACCCACTTTTGGGTCATGATCCATGGGTTGAGAAACACTGATCCAGTCCAGTTTCCTGCCTGAGGCAGCATCAGCCCTATCCAAGCCTTTCTATGCAAATCCATAATCAGAACCCTTCATAAATCTATCATCAACCCTGATACAACATGACATAACACTCTAATCTGCCACAGGTAAGGCAGGAGAACAGCACAACATCCTGTTTCTATAAAAGGTTGTTAATATATACTCAAGAGTTCTCAGGTAGAGGCGACACCCCCTGCTAGAAAGGAAGGCAACCCCCCCCCCCCCCCCAGTCCATTTTAGTCTGACCACAAGGTAAAATGTCTTCCTGACTGCAAATATGGCAATCAAATGGACCCTGAGCAGAGAGGCCAGGAACCTCCAGCTTTAAGCCCCAGAAAAAACATTGCAACACTCCAGTCAAAATCCCCAGCCTTGGCTGCAGCCAACACCCAATTCCTCTGAGGCAAGCATAAAAACACCCTGACACGTAGAAAAAAAAGGGAGGGGCAACCAAAAAAGTCCAGAATCATGGGAAATACCCATAGTAGAACAAAGACCCACCCCCTCAATACATGCAGGCAAAGGCATGATGGGATCTAATGCACAATCCACACAATCATGGTCCTGCCATCCCCTATATGCATGGCAAAAGGCATGATTGTGGAATTGCACATTAGATCCCTTTTCGCCTTATTGCTGATGCAAGGGGAGCCTGATCCCAGGCTCCCCCTGCACTGGCAAGAAACCAATTCCTATGGCTGGGAGCCCCTCAATTGAGGGAGGTGGTAGGGAATCACATTAGCTACAATCCCTCAGGCTTGGAGGTGAGTGAAAGCCCTGGGCCTTGGGAATCACAACTGTTGCAATCTCCCAGGCTTGGGAGCATGTGAAACCCCCAGGCATCAGGGATCATGGCTGCCATGATACCCCAGGCTCTGGGGTTTCATGCTGGGTTTGAGCTGATGGGGCTCCCAGCCTCAGGGGAGACCTGCTACATGTGCAAATTAAAGTTTAATAGCAACCAGAAATAAAGTTAGTACATATCTTTGAGGTCTAACTTGATAGCTGACTGGAGTTTTTTGGGTGTGATAGCTACTTTGCACACATAGTAGGTCTTAAGGTACTTGCTCAATTAACCAGTTAATTGCATGATAGCTATAGGCTAGGGACAGACATTCAAGAAGCCTGAGCCTGAATTGATTCAGTCTTTGCAAGTTAGACTAACCTGGCTAGGCTAATTCAGTTTTGTAACCAGACACACATCTCAGGAATGCAGGTACATGCCTGCAGTGGCTCAGGCTAGAAGCCAGGGGTGGCTAAAGCAGCTCTCCCTCCCTTCCACAGTACTGAGCTGAGGGGGGCATGACCAGACCCTGGTAGGATGCTTTGATTAGCTCAGCTGGGAATTGGTAACAGTGTTTATCACCCCATTAAGAAAACAACAGAGGGACATTAACAGCTACTGTTGATTCTTCCATGTTGATTCAGTACAGACCATAGCCAGCATGTTGTCTGCAAGCTAATACACAGACACCTACTCAGCAAGGCAGATGGAAGTGGGGAACTCCTTCTTAGCAGGGAGTGGTGAGGGGAAGGCGGAAGCAGCTTACAGTTTCTGGAGCTGCAGCCAGGGAGCAGAGGGGAGGGGCCAGCTCAACTGTGGAGCAGAGATCCCTGCCCAGCCCAGAGAGCATGCCTGGATGCTGAGGGTGTCTCATTTATCTTGAACCAATGAGGGGTCTGGGACAGACATTGTATAAACCAGTTTGAACCGAATCAGTTAAGCCTGATACTACATTCAACCAGGTTTATTACAAACTGGTTTCAGCCATTATCATACTGGTTTGTGCCCTCTGAATATCTGTTCTGTTACAGGTTTAAACCAGTTTCTGATCACTTAAACCAGTTTATGTGTAAAGTCTGTCCCTAGCCCTGATGTGTAGAGGGGGCCATAGACATTGCTAGCTTATATCATCCCTGACCAGTGGCAGTCCAACCTCTTCTTAAATACCTCCAGTGATGGAGAGTTCACTTCTTCATCTAAAAGGACTATGTCTATTAGCCAATGGTAACAGTAAATCTTTTATCCTCTGTGCCCTGGCTGCAGGGATTGCCATAACCTCCACGCTTCATGCAGAATCAAGATGGGAGATATGACACTAAACCAACCCCACAGAGAACATATTTTTGGATACAACTATCCAGGACCACAAGCACATATTGTGGTGACCAACAGTGGGTCCAGAACTTCCATGTAAAGAAAGCCACATTCCTGGACCTAAGTGAAGATCTCACAGTGGCTCTTGTATGGCAGAACACACAGATGAAAAGACCACA